TCCTGCTGAGATTTGCATTCTGCTGTCTTCTGTTTAGAAACTAAAGGAAAACTTAGCCCACAACTGAAATTTGTGGGGCTTGCAAAATATGTTGGTTCTGAGGAATTCATTCCTGTTTGATTTGTGGGGCTTGCAAAATATGTTGGTTCTGTTTTTTAAATAGCTTTCTTTAAGCCTAGCTCCATCTGCTGCAAGACACCTTTGATGAAAAAAAGTTTAGCTTTTTTAGACAGTCTTGTTTTATAGAAGATATGAAACCTTTTGAAAGAGTAAGCGATAAGAATGAGAACAGAGATGTTAAAGATTGAACTATTTCTACTCCAATTGCTGTTTAATAAGCAAAGTTTTATCAATATCACCATGTAGTTTGTCTCTTACTGTTATGATATTTGGCTAAATCTCTTTTCCATCTTAGTAAAATACTGAAATACTGTATGTGACTGTGATAAGCAGTGCATTCCAAGTTGTTTGCTAAAAGGAATATGTGCTGTGTTTAAGTACTACTCTTAAACAGTAGCTTTGAAAACAACTGGATGAATAGATCGTGAGTGAACAGCACACCAGGAAAAAAGAAAAAAAAAAAATAAAAAAGAGGCCTGAATGCCCAGTAAGAAAACAACACAGGAGAATACAATCGTTGCTAAATCCAAGGGTGTCCAGCGAGGGAATGTCACTGAAGCAGAAAAGGAGAAATAGAATGCTTTTGAGCAGAATAAGTACATCTCCCTCATCCTTGCCCCCCTCCGCAAAGCCCCCAGACTTAAATGCTTAGTTTCCACTGCAAAACAGCCATTTGTTTAAATGTACATCTTTGATGCTGGAAATAAAACAATGGCTTTGCTTCCAAGTTGTTTTCCTCAATGCCCTATTAGATCTATCCGTGGGAATTTTATTTTTGTGTTTCCGAAGAGCTTGGGGGCGGGAGGGAGGAGACTGATCTGATGTTAAACTTCTATAGTACAAACTTTTATGAAGTTTATAAACTCAGTTGTAGATGTTATTCCGTAGCAGATTGTCTTCCAGCAAGTGCCACTGCTGTCTTACATCACCTTTTATCTTCTGACTGTTTCTCATAACAGAAATGCATCCCTGGGTCATTTAACTGTTTAATTCAAAGCTATGCATTATTCTTGGAAGATAACTGAGTGCATTGTTGTGGATGGACATGTGTAACCAATTTTCTTTCCCCTTTTTCTAAACCTTTACATAGGTAAGATCTAAATCTGGCTTTTCAGCCACATGCTTAGAAGGTGAATCCTCAAGATTATAGAGCATATATTTCTTTATAGTGGTATCTGGGTCACAATAGGTGTGATTTCTTTAGTCCGTTGAATCAAGTATCCTGTCTGAAAACTCTAGCTGAATTTATAAGAGGCTGTACAGAACCATGGGAAAGTCTACACTTCCTATGTCTACTTTAAAATAACATTGTATAAATCTTTCAAACCATGCCATGACTGCCTCTGGCATAATGGGAGAAATGTTCTCAGAATGAAAATGATAGATGTGTTACAAAGATAATGGGCAGTAGGGAGGGAGAGTTCCTCTTCCACTGGCTAAGACAGACTTTTAGGACACCCTAGTTAGTCAAGAAAGACATTTTGAAGGAATGATTAGGTCTGTTGCATGAAGGTTTGATTTATTTATTTTAACTGTGATATGAAATACTGACAGCTAATATGTGCACATCAAAACAGACTCACAAATTGACAGAAATTCTCATTAACTTTTTTCTACTTTTAATGTCCAAAGGAAATCAGCTTGGTAATTTCTATTTCTGGTGAAGTTATTACTTTGCTTTAAGGAGAAACAAAGGGATTTGGGTGTAAAGCACTGTTTTAGTTTTATACCCAAGACAATTTTGAATTTTAATTGTTATAATAATATAAACATAATAGTTGTACTTTAGGACATCTGAGCTATATTAGTTTCTTATCCTGAGGAAGACATTAAAGGAGTTTCTGCAGCCAAATAAAACCACAGATGAAGGTCTGTAAGTATAATGCCAGACACAAGAGAACAAAATTTCTAGAAATGGACTGGCTGTGGAAAGCGTTAGTGTGAGGAGATACCATTACCCTTGGAGAAGCTATATTTATATTTGTTTTAGGTCTGAACTTTCCTCATCCAGCCCCTGTGGTGCTGTGCTTTGCATCTGTGGCTAGAAGTATTGATAACACAGCAGTGTTTTGGCTGCTACTGAAACCTGCTTGCACAGCATCAGGGCTGTCTCCCCACTGCCACTCTGGTCCACCACTCACTACTTCCCAGTCTTGATGAATGAGAAGAAAAACCACATAGCTGAGCAAGAAATTTGCTGGGTAATTTTTACTGTTAACAGCTTATCTCCTCATTTATCCTATCCTGGTGATCTGATAAGTGACCAGAATAAATGTGTCTCTAGAAAGGAGTGGAAGAGTTTAATTACCCTGTAGTTCATAATATGTTTTGTTCCTGTCCTCATTCTAACAATCTAATGCTGAGGTGTTTCAGTGGTTCTGGAGAGGAGTATTTTACTGACCTTAACTAGTGGGGCAAGCTTTTTCTTGGAACATCAAGCAACATTTCTAACAAATACTGCTAAGTTGCAGAGGGGAATGGGAATTAGCAGATGAGGAAAGTTGTTGTTAACAGAAAATTCTTAGGTATTTATTTTAGTCCCTTACCTGTTATTTTCATTCAAGCAAATGAATTTTATTTCTGTCCTTTTGTGCATTGCAACTGGCAATACACTGAAACAGTAACCTCAGAGATCCTTCTGAGTGACACTTTTGATGCAGCCTGGAATTGGTGAAGAAGCCAGGAGTTCAGTTCCTCAGAGTTAAGTAGCCTGATATAACTGGCTTTTGAGTCAGTATGTGAAAGGGTGCATTTATACAGTGAACTTGTACTTTGTGCACTTAACCTGCTTCCCTTTTCTGTTGCTCTGTCAATCTCTGTAAGAGGCAGAATTAGGTCTGCTTTCACCTCACATAAATTCACTGTCTACAAAGTAGGCTTTTTTTCTGGTTCTGATTTTGTTTTCCCTCTCTGTTTGTATCACAACCCTTGTGTATTTTAGCTCCTGTACTGTTTCTTTTTATTCCTGTTATTGTTAGACCATTGTTTCTGTCTGTTCACATCTTCTTTCACAGGACTGTATTTAGATGCCCTATACTGCCCTCATTGCAGTGGCATCTGTAGGCTTTAAGTGCATTAAGTGGCTGTGACAAACATGTCATGTGTCTTACTCCAGAAGAAATGGCCTCAAGTTGTGCCGAGGGAAGTTTAGATTGGATATTAGGAGGAATTTCTTTACTGAAAGGGTCATCAGGTATTGGAAGGAGTTACCCAGGGCAGTGGTGGAGTCCCAATCCCTGGAGGGATTTAAGAGTCATCTAGACATAGTGCTGAGGGACATGGTTTAGTCGGGGACTTGTCAGTGTGAGGTTAATGATTGGACTTGATGTTGTATGAGGTCCAATGGCTTTAACCTTATTACATGGCACTGTAGTAATCTGAGATAATATCTCACTGGAAATCAAATGCTCGCTAAATGGTTTGTGTTTTATAATAACATCCTGTTACGTTCCTAGGTTATGAACTTAACGCACTAGAAATAATATATACATTTTAAAAATCTAATTGGATTTGTGTACATTAAGTTTTACTGGAGTCTGTTAACATTGACTGCAAGGCTGTCAAACTGTGTCAGACAGTCTTGTTTCATTCTGTCTCAACATTCAGCTTTTTATCCATAAACTCAATGGCTAGCACTAAGTCTGTTGTAGATGGTAAAATGGTAGTGCTCTGTATTACTGGTTTATGATAGACTTAAAACATGACCTTCTTTACCGTTTTGACTCCTGATTCAGGCTATTGGCTCCTCTTTGGCCCTTCTTTCTGTTTGGTTAATGATGCTGAAAACTAGCAAATTTCCTTTGACAGTGTGATTTCTCCCCTTTGCTTTACTGATTGAATTTTCTGTCTTATGTTCTTCATCAAGTTAAAGTTTCTTTGCTCGTCTTTAGGTTGCTCCACTTGCTTTTCATGCTGCTGTTTATGCCTAGCACTTTTTATCTTTTTATATACCAGGCTGTTTACTTGTACATGTTCAGATACTAATACTTATTAA